GCGTTTACCCATTTGCGCTTTGTCATTAGGGCAAGGTGCCAGTGTAGGGTTCCTTTTATGGAATTTCAAAAAATGTATAAGTAACTCTTGTTTGAATCGTTGAAAAACATTTCATTATAATTCTAAACTCAATGCATGGAAAATTTGAGTTTTTAAGTCAATTACAAATATTATATATACCTACAAAAGTTATAAAAATCATATAACATTACTTAATAAAACAAAGGTTTATATTGTTTATATTAAAGACTATATCAAGTTTATTTTGCACATTCGTTGAACATTATACTATTATACGAGTTAATTTTTGTAATACAAGAATCAACGTTATGAATACTACACCGATGAGTATGTACTGATTTTAGTTTTTAATTTAAGGAGGATGGAGGGGATACAATGAGCCATTATACTGGCCATTTTAACTAAATGGAAATACTAAAAAGTAGGCTTGAAGAATATTTCAAAACATTTATTAAGAAAATAAACACCATGCATAGGCGATTTTAATAAATAAACGTTGATGGCGAAAAAGAAGTGAAGAGAACACTTTACGGTTATTGCCACACTTAAAAAGAAGAAGACTATTACGAGTGGAACTCGCTATCACAACAAAAGCGAAGATAGATTAACACCAACTGTGTTTGCAGCAATGGAATTTATGTTGACATTTTGAATTAAACACACTCTCTGTCAATCCACGTCCAACTGGAATTTCACTCCAAGTAGATTTAGTAACCCTATCCTACAGACAAACATGGAACAATAGAATGACAGATGGACGGTAGGACACATGCGAGATGAATATGCATAGACATTTTAAATCTGAATAAAAATTAATAAAAAATTTTGCATTACCTATCTATAAAATTACCCACATAAATGTTCGTTGCTGCAGTGTAAGTTCCAAATGAGTAAATTATGCGTTTCATTAATACTATTTTTATAAAATTAATTAATGACTAGTTATTTTATATATTTTATCTTTGAAAATGTTTCAATCTCACAAATAAAAAAATAAAAAATAAATGTTTTTATTTATAAGCAATTATAACTAATCTGCACATCGTATATATGTAATAACTGTTGAGCTATATTAGTTGTTAGTCAAAGCTATGAATAAATTAAAAAAACTATTTGCACTTTTAAATGGGGCAAGGTTGGGGTTCGGTGTCAAGAGACAGGTTACAAGGTTACAGGTTTCAGGTACCAATATATTTCAAATCTGGGAGGAAGATAGTTTTATGGTTTTTGGAAAAATAAATATTACCCAAATTAGTTTTATATTCATTGAATATCATATTTTCTAGACTTAAACAAACAGAAGTAACAAATAAACATAAAATAAGATTACATTGTCACATACTTGATCAATACCTATATAAATTAATAACTTTATTGTAAAAGTTTCTTTAGATATTCTCTACAACAGAAATAATTGAATACCGTGTTAGCTAAATAATTATGAACCCATTTAATATTATGTGATTAGATATTACATTATAATATGATTATGAAGCTCCGCAGAACATTGTGAGTGACAAATGTTGGAGGATACTTTTCGAATTTTTCGAATAACCAATTTTCGATACCTATTATTAATCCAATATCTATTGTGATATAATATACATTTTAAAAAAGTACTCTATTAATTTGGTAAAAAAACATTAACACATTTTCTACAGTTTCCATAGCACCTTAATGAAACATCATAAGTACAGCGTATAGCATTTTCAATTTGTTTGATTAAAATCAAGCAAAGAATGGGATTGTGTGTACTTTGTCTATATATCTACTCTTAGAAGTTGCAAAATATGCATATAATGTGGTCTTAAAAAACACAAAAGAAAGTGGATAATGATTAATTAAATATGGAGAAATGTTCTCGTGTTACGGATTTGAGAGGATAAAGAATATTTGAACACATGGTATATTTAGCTGCAAAATGGCAAGTATTATTAAGTGACGTGGAAACCACTGACGATAATTTTCCACACACATAGTTTTCGATGGATCGAAAAAACAAGTTAATATAACAAGTGAGTGGTTATTACATGTTTATTGTAAAACATTATGACCATTCAACAAAAAGAATCTGCAGGTATATTTTCAGAAAAGCGTCAACAAGATTTATTGTAGTAGTTTTCAACCAAGCCATATACAACTGCAAAAAAACGACGAGTTGCAAAACAACTTTTTACTTATAATTATTTTTTTATTTTACTACTTATAATCCATAATATAATAAAATTCTAAAACAATCTGCAAAACGAATCATAACGAAAACAAACGACATATAAGATTTCGTAATCCTGCTTACCATCCTGAATAACTTTATATTAATATATATGTATACCTAGTGAATATTATAATGATTCAACTAGGTACCAAAGTATGTACATATAATATGTTAATTTAAAAAAAAAACAAATGACAATTTATGATATTTTTATTTTTAGGAATATTATATACATAAAATATAAAATGATGAATATTCTTAACATGGTTGTTTTTTTTTTTTACATACATATCATACGAGGCCTATCATTCATTATATGTAAAATTAAAATACATTTTTTTTTCACGAGGCTGTTGTGTATGCTTACCCTCGCCGTTTTTGTTAATGAATAATGCGTTTCAATGGCGCACTAATATAATGTGTATACCTATATGGTTTTGGTGGTACATTTGTCACTTATGACATTTTCGCATATGTGAAATTGTGAACACATTATATAATGATACAAACTCTGCCCGTGCGCATCGCAAAAAATATGGGACCGGAATAACAACGATTGTTATTAAAACAATGCTCCGATGAAGAATTGAGCAAAATGCGCAAATGCGAAAACGCCGTGTGAGCGTGGGCGAAGGCCAAATTATATTATGTACCAATCCGACAGAAATGAAACCAATTTAAACACTTAAATGTTCGTTATTTTTATTTTGTAATAATACATAAATACCTTAATAAGCTCAATTCGATATTTATGTCACATTGGTGGTGTGGAAAGGTATGGAAGAAAATGGTTAGGTTAGGTAACGCAGAAAGGGAATGGTAAATGATAAAAATAAACATCTTCGCTAAATAAAAAAGGAAAATTTGCTTCAAAGAAAAGTATATTCAGACTGACTGATTTTTACAATGTAGACAGGAAAATTAAGAAAGGTTAACGAGTCACTTAGATGGTTTTTAGTTCTTATAGAATTAATAATGGAAAATCAATGTTTAGCATTGAATTGAAAAGTTAATCCAAGACAGAAAATATATAATATAAAAACATTTATTTGTTTGAAATTTCAACTATATGGACTCAACAAATACTGTTCTAAGCTAATAAGTAATAACATTCTGCAGTACATATAACATATTCATTTTAAGTTATAGTTATAGTTATAGTTACAGTAGTAGGATTTCAGTATAATAATATGTTAAGAACACAATAAGGTAAACTGAATAACTGTAATAATCAGCAGATAAGGCATTAACGAATTTATGCAAATTTATTATAAAATTAACAAAATAATAGTTAAATTAATTGAAATTATTGAAACTGTACATTCTTGTTAGAATATTTAATATACTGGAAGATGAAAGTTGTATGTAATTAAGTATTGTACAATTAATAACTTATCAAACAACGTTTTATTATATAATTTAGGCAACATGAACATAAGAATACCAACCAAATTTAACTAGTAAAGCCTGAAGTATTGTCTTTAATTATTTAACATCAACGATTAACTAAACATAATTATCATAAAAGAGTCGCTGCGCAGTTACAGAAAATTAGATTGTGTTTGAAGTAAAAACATAAAGAGATAAAATGATTTTATATGATTATATCCAACAAATCACAAGTGAACCCAATTTGCAAATGTCGGACTCCCAAGAGCTTTGCTCGGTCATAAATAACGAACGGCCAAATAATGTTGTACGAGGAAAATTAATAACAACGGTGAATTTACTATAGATGTTTGTCGAGTAGAAAAAAATATATTCCTTGCTAGTTCGGGCTCGTAAGTCCCGGGGAGACTACAAGGAAGCCAATTAATACGCTGTCCTCAAAACTTTAAGTTTACACTTTACTGCAATATTCTTCCACGAAACCGCAACACGATACGTCCAGAAGACAGCTGTCTACATTTCCTAATTTGGAGCTTAAATTATTTTTACAATAATTAAAGAAACACGCCTGACGCCCAGACTTTATTGCGAACAACAAAAGTATACATTGTTATGACGTTCGTTTCAGTCGAGTGCTTTGTATAAAGTTCTAAAAATAAATAACTAAAAATCATTTGACCATCTATACAAAAAAATGCCAAGATCCAAGACATGACAACAATAAAACTTTGATGATTTTAGTTTACATTTGTGTGAGTAATAAACTGTTTGTGAGCCAAACCTTTATAATTATGAGATTAATTATAATATAGTTATATTTAAATACTTACCTACATAAAATAAAATAAAATACATTATGCATTTAATAATATTATATACATTTAAAAATAGGTAAATAGTACTAAAATGACACAGAAAACTTACAATAATATTAATAAACTTCAACCATGATAGGGATTATGTCAACTATTAATTGTATCAACAAGATTTAAAAGTCATAATTAAAATAATAATAAATCATACATATTTAATTACACCACATCAATGAAATATATTATATTAAATGTCAGTATCCATTAAAATAATTTTTCTTGTTATTAATATTACGAAATAAATATTTACACAATAAATAATAGTTCCCTCGCCATTTTCATAAATAATATTATGACATTGTTTGAATTTATATCACTTTATAATTTATCTTACACGTTACCTATAATAAACAATAAGGAATAATCAAGAAAAACAATAATATTTACCTATAAAAATCAATATCTATAATGTTGTGATTATTTGCTAAATTATGTTTTATTGTTGTCTAAATAAAAAAACACCTTTTTTGGGTATTATCATAATTAGTATAATTCAGACTTACCAAAGTTTTTTTTATTTTTTGATATATTCTGTCGTTCTTAATGCAATCTAAAACGAAATTAATATGTATATTAGAATTGTCCTGAATTATCGAAATGATTTGTTTAATAGTTAATTATTCGTATGAAAATTCTTCTTGGAAATAAGATTTTATAATAACAACTATATTGTAATAATTTGTCTGCGTATATTTTGATGTGCAGCGTGTATTTGAAAGTTTGGCACTAGACACCGTAGCAGTTACGTTCTGAAAATTGTAAATATTCCTCAAAACATGTCGTGACTTGTGAGAAGCGGTGACACATAGGTAATGATAGCTTTAAATACATAATAATATAGCGTTTTTGGTATAGTTTTAACCCGGTTTTTTTTAACTTCTTTGTCACACTGTTAAGTTTTAAGAGCTAAACTGCTTCAATAACGGGTGCAGCTGCTGCCGACGTCCAAACGTCATGATGCTTAACGTTGTTGTAGGCGAACTATGATTCATATACACACCAATATAAACGATATTGCGATTACATATTTACATTCACTCAATCAAACAAAACGACGCCCCTTTTACAATAAAGTTTAGAATATAATGTAAATAATTAACTCGAGTAAAATTATAATATGACTATTGGCCACGTTCCAGCAAAAGGAAATTCACAATATGGCAATAAGTAAATTGCGCGTGCTTAGCCGATATATATATACGTGCTTATACACGACACGACGGCGCGTAATAAATCTCGATTTCCGTCAGCATAATATAGTACTCGTATAATACACGACATTAAATTTGTGTATACTGGGGTGATTCTTCGAGCAGATGCTCACCCCCAATTGCGAGGAGTGAGGACTATAATATTGCATACAATATCAAATAGATATGATATGGTACTTAGATTATTAGGTTCGTACAATGTATATTTTACACGGTTTAGGGAAGGTTGGGTATTCAATTTACAACCTTGGTATTTTTTTACTTTAAGTACAGTTTTAAAAAATTGAATACAGCTAAAAAAATATTTAAATATACATACATAAATATATAATTTTTCAATGTGACCTCTCTTATTAAAAATATCTGTGTACGCCACAGGGTTAATTTTATTATACTATTCAGAAAAATCATTAAAAAACAATAGATTCAACAGTCTTTAAATCATTATAGCCCCTATATCACTACCTAAACATTCTAAACCAATAATTTTAATAGTAGACTGTTGTTCTTAATAACTAAAAACTACAAATTTGAATTTGAAAGTTTAAACTTTTAGTTCAAACGATTTAGATACATCAACATTTTCAAAAAAAATCATCTTAAATATCATGAAAATCCAAACATTTAAAAATATGATCCATATGTAACAAATATAATTTAAAAATTCAAAAACACAAATTTCAGTAAATGTAGATAAAATAATATGGTATTGCATGCTTGGCGCGTGATTTCTGCATTAATTATGTCAACGGTATTAAAAAACGACATAGCTATATATATAAGTTATAATATAATGTAACTATTAAACCTGCAGGATTCCGTGTAAGTTTTTAGGGATTAAGTGCGGGTGCTGCATTGTCTCCGAAATCAACTGAAAAATAAACACAATCGAGTTTTGTTTTTCTATCTCATTCTCCCATAGAGACACAGTGTATTAACTAATAAAAATATAGTCACCATTAATTTCTACCAAAAGCCATCCATAACCTCTATTTTTTCATTTTTTTTTGCGGTTGGCACTTTTTTTCTTCCACCGTACACCACCGTCGGAGGTTTATTTTGAGGAATTTATTTTTTGTCCTATGCTTATTTTTTTACTGAACAATCATTATTTATTATTATTTTTATTACTATTACTAGTATTATTTTATATTTTTTTCCCGACTGAGTCGTACAGACAATGCCCCACAAGCCAGTATCAAAGACTATACTTGGAATATATATTATGTATATATATGTGCATAGTACAGGTATTATGAAATTCTGTGGTGTAGTTTTATAAAAAATGTATGATGAACTCCGTTTCGCCCCGTTGACTTACCGTCAACGGTAAACGTTATGACAAGGCAGTTCCGTCACCGCCTGCCCCGTCTGTAGCTGGTGTGTAACTTTTGCCGAGCTTTGTCGTGGGGAAGACGTTTTCTGATGCACGCGTTTATTTTATATATAGGCAAGCTTTAAAAACAACGAACTCGAGCAAAACCTAATTTAAATCGAACAAAAGCATCTGCACAGCGACCCGTGCGATTCGATGTGTGCCTTACGCGTCATGTCACCCGGATTATAGTGCCTCATATTATTTTACTGAGTATCTAATAATATGTAGTTAACATCAATCCACATCTCTGATTTAACGATGTAATTGTGATTTTGTTTTTACTTTAAATATTATTTTATTTTTTTGAAAGTTAACCCCTGTCGGTGTATTGTCAAATATGAAATAGTATATACACAAATAATATTATAAATATTATACATTGTTTAAGTTTATATATTTATTTTTAATATAATATATTTAACTAATTGTTATTTTACTCGCAATTATTGTTACTATATTATATATTTGTGTTTGAAAATTGGACAATTCGTCCTTAAATACATACGTCATACATAAATAAATAAGTACATTATAGTTTAGTATAAGTTATACTATAACAAAAAGGAAACTTAAAACAACAAAGCAGTTATTGTAAAATGATAATATTGAAAAAAAATTACGTATTGGTTTAAACGATGAAATATTGCGTAAAAAAATATTTCTGGACAGGTTTGTGTAAAAAGTCATTGGATTGGCACATTAATGATCTAGATGTAAGATTTCTTATAATTCTTTGTGTTTCAGTTATTATTTCAAGTAAAACTTTTATGAAACAAACTCAAATAATGTTAAGTCCTGTTTCTTATGAACTTATACCAAGTATTTTAATGACTAGACAGTAACCACGAAGTGAATGAAGGATATTAAGTCAAAAATCATCAAAACATGAATATAATTCATCTCTTTTCTACATGGTTAATATGTCTAATATCGGCTAATGTTGAAAGTGCCCAGAGACTGTTAATCCTTATTACTTTAATATCTATCGAACTAACACCGTATTATGCAGTAAAGTTAAATTAATTGAGTTACGGTTGATGAAACCCAGTTTCTTAGCTGTGGAACTAAGTGTGAATGGAGTGATATCGATGAACCTAGATGATCTGTGGTTAGCGTAGTACATGATAGGGTCATGCAGTTTAAGCTATACAAGAAGTATATTTTAACTGTAAAAGAGCGGTGGAAAGTCATGCAATTTAATTTACCAATAATCGGTAATAAACCAACCGTATCACACAAATTAAAAATAATTTTTCAAGTGAATTACCTACTAGCTAGGATTTCAATTGAATTGAAAACAGTAATTTAATCACATGGTCTATAATTATATGGTTAAATAATAATAATTATTATAAATAGTTCATGACAATCATGATTCACAACAGAAGATAGATATAAAAGTTGAATTGTACTTGTACCATTATACATATTTTTCAACCAAAATCAATTAAAACATACTTCAGAACAACTAAAATAATATTTATTTTAAATATGTTTGACCAAGGTCATTCAGGGTATGCATTAATATATTAATATTGATAATTATTACAATTTTGAAATTATGTACCACAATTTGCGATGGTGATTTTTACATTTTAAAGACATTAATATTTTAATAATATAAATATAATAATTAATAATAATATAATATTAATATATAAAAATTAAATTCCAATGCCTGTAATAATATTAACTAGTTCTATCCTGATGGCCTGCGAATTATCTATATAGAATTGACGCTGTTCGATGGCTAAAGTTTAATTTAAAAAATTTTAAATTGTCCAAAAGTAACCTACATTATTCTATTAATATAATAATTTTATAATCCAGTAGGTACATTAATAATAGCTACATTTTTTATTTATATATTTTGAATAATAATTTGTTATTCATATTTTTAATGTGTTATGCAATTAATGAAAACTTAAATTCAAATCTACGTATAAAAATACCTAAATGATGTTGATTTATATTGTTATATACATATGATAAAAGCTTATATAGCTGGCTTATATGCTTTCAGTAAAATTGTTCATATAAAATGGTCCATCTAATATATTATATTGAATAAATGAATAATTTAAAATCTTGAATGAACATCAGCACATTAAAACAACTTGATCTACTGAAAAGGGGTTTGTGGCTATTGATAAAATGTAATTACTTTGCTAATGGCTGATGAGAATGAGATCTAACAAAACTAAAAAAAAATCTATTTTAAATATATGAGAAATATTCTCTTATTCTTTATTATTTGGATAAATATTAAATATACGAGTATAGAAACATATTTAATGTAAGTAAGTTTAGGTGGGCTTCAAAATGAAACATAATAATCCAGGAATGTCCATTTCTTTGATTTTTTTTAGCTGTTGTAAGTACCTGACAATGTTGTCCGATAGCAAACATGTATGGCAAAAAAACCCTAAATTAATACATCTCATAACATTTTTAACTTACTGCCATTATTATTGGACGTGGTATAAACTGTTAGTTACAGACTAATTTTTAAAATTGAATAAAATATGATAAATAACTGTTAGCCATGAAATAATGTACCTAATAATTATTTTTGATGGAAATTATCAGAAAAAAAATCTTAGGAGAAACGTATAGGTAAAGCCCGCAGTATTTGATTTATCATATTATAATAATGATTATTATATTATACAATCAAAGGTTTTCAATTTGTGGTAGTATATTTTTGACGAGTTTTATCTTGATTGTTCTGATGTTATTTTTATATGTCCTAAATATATATTGTTGAACCTTCTGGTTTCTTAAGATAAGAATTCTGCTGACAAACTTTATTGATCTGAGGTCGAAACACTTCTATTTACCATTATTTTGCTTTGATAAACATCCATAGTTTACAATTAGATCATTTTTTGAAGTAAAATTCATTGTTTGTATGGATAGGGTGAACTGTATGACTGTCAATTAATTCACTGTTAGTTATTA